CTATAAACCTCTGCCTCTGTGTTGGACTTTTGCAGCTCTGTGGAGTTTCCTTTTTTTTCCCTTTTTTCTTTCTTCTTCCATTTGTTTTGTTTGTTTGTTTTTGTAATTTTAATTTTTAATTATTTTAAACCTATTATATTGGACTCTGTGGGAGAAGGTGAGGGTGGGATGTTTCAAGAGAACAGCATCGAAACATGTATATTATCTATGGTGAAACAGATCACCAGCCCAGGTTGGGTGCATGAGACAAGTGCTCGGGCTGGTGCACTGGGAAGACCCAGAGGGATCGGGTGGAGAGGGAGGTGGGAGGGGGGATCAGGATGGGTAATACATGCAAATCCATGGCTGATTCATGTCAATGTATGACAAAAGCCACTGCAATATTGTGAAGTGATTGGCCTCCAACTGATGAAAATAAAATAAAATAAACCTATTATATTTTTTTTCTACATTTATTCCTTTGTTTGCCTTCTCTACTGTTCTTTTCCCCTTGCAGTTAATCTCTAATGTATATAAATTTTCTTCATCTACCTCTGTTTAACTTTGCATATCTATTCTTTCTTTCTTTTCTTTCTTTCCTTTCCTCTCAATATATTTCTTAGTTTTGCTTTCATTGCTTTATTCCCCACTTGGCACCTTGCTTTAGTTTTGTTTTCCAGTTTGTGCTTTAGTTTTGTTCTAAACTGGTAAGTATAATTTTTTATTTCCTTTGTTCACTGGGTCAATCTACTGCATTTTATTTTTGTCAGACTGTTTTGACTTAGCTCATGGGTGTATATGTATATTATATTATTTTAATTATTATTTGTCTAACTTTATAACCGCCATTTGTCTGCAATTCATCTTTGGTTTCTTGTTTTTGGACATTTGTTTTAATCTCACTTAATACCATAACAAACCACTTGTGGAATATTCATTCCTGACCAGAGGTCAAGCCCTGAGCCTTTGGAGTGGGAGCACTGACTCCAAGACCCTAGACTACCAGAGAAGAACCCTAGGGAGTATCAAACAGTGAGAACTCACACAAAGGAAACCACTTGAATACAAGACCTGGCATCACCCAACCACCAGTAGCACCCTATGCAGGACACCTCATCTAAACAACAAACAAAACAAAAATACAAACCCAGTCATCAGCAGACAGGATTATCACCTCACTCAGCCTTGCCCATCAGACGAAAAACAAAGAAACAAAAAACTCAGCACAAATCTCACACTATATGAAACTTACACAAACCAACCACTGGACCAACCTTAGAAGGGCAGAAACCAAGAGGAAGAAAGAGCTCAGCCTTGAAGCCTGGGGAAAGGAGACTTCAAACAAAATAAATTAAAAAATAATGATGATGAAAAGGCAGAGAAATACTACACAAATAAAGGAACAAACTAGGATCCCAGAAGTCCAAATAAATGAAGAGGAAATGGGCAAACTACATGAAAAAGAATCCACAATAATGACAGTAAAGATGATCAAAAACCTTGAAAACAGAATGGAGAAAATGCAAGAATCAATTAACAAAGACCTAGAAGAATTAAAGAATAAACATACAGAGACAAGCAGCACAATTACTGAAATTAAAAATACTCTAGAAGGAATCAGTAGCAGAATAGCTGAAACAGAAAAACAATTCAGTGAGCTGGAAGATAAAACGGTGGAAATAACTTCTGAAGAGCAGAATAAAGTAAAAAGAATGAAAAGAACTGGGGATCGTTTCCAAGACCTCTAGAACAATATCAAATGCACCAACATTTGAATAATAGGGGTCCCAGAAGAAGAAGAGAAAAAGAAATGGTATGAGAAAATTTTTGAAGAGATAAAAGTTGAAAATTTTCCCAACATGGAAAAGGAAATAGTCAATCAAGTCCAAGAGGCACAAAGAGTCCCATACAGGATAAACCCAAACAGAAACACGCCAAGACACATAATAATCAAACTAACAAAGACTAAACACAAAGAAAGAATATTAAAAGAAACAAATGAGAAGCAACAAGTAACATACAAGGGAAACCCCATATGCTTAACAGCTGATCTTTCAGCAGAAATGCTGAAGGCCAGAAGGGAATGGCAGGATATATTTAAAGAACTGAAAGGGAAAAATCTACAACCAAGATTACTGTACCCGGCAAGGATCTCATTCAAAATTGACAGAGAAATAAGCTTTTCAGACAAGCAAAATTCAAGAGAATTCAGTACCACCAAACCAGCTTTACAACAAATGTTAAAGGGACTAATATAGTCAAGAAATACAAAGAAGAAGAAAGATCTACAAAATCAACCCCAAACAATTAAGAAAATGGCCATAGGAACATATATATCAATAATTACTTTAAATATAAATGGATTAAATGCTGCAACCAAAAGACACAGACTGGATGAATGGATACAAAAACAAGACCCATATATATGCTGTCTACAAGAAACCCACTTCAGACCTCAACACACATATAGACTGAAATTGAAAGGATGGAAAAATATATCCCTTGCAAATGGGAAGCAAAATAAAGCTCATATCAGACAAAATATACCTTAAAATAAAGAAGATTATAAGAGATAAGGAAGGATGCTACATAATGATCAAGGGATCAATCCAAGAGGAAGACATAGCAGTTGTAAATATCTATGCATCCAACATAGAAGCACCTCAATGCATAAGACAAACACTAACAGACATAAAAGGAGAAATTGACATTAACACATTAATAGTAGGAGACTTTAACACCCCACTCACACCAATGGACACATCATCAAAACAGAAAATTAATAAGGAAACACATTAGATGAGATGGATCTCATTGATATCTTCAGGACATTCCATCCAAATGGAGAAGGATACACCTTCCTTTCAAGTGCACATGGAACATTCTCCAGGATAGACCACATCTTGGGTCACAAATCAAATCTCAGTAAATTTAAGAAAATTCAAATCGTATCAAGCATCATCTCCAACCACAATGCTATGAGACTAGATATCAATTACAAGAAAAAAACTGTAAGAAACACAAACACATGGAGATTAAACAACACGTTTCTAAATAACCAACAGGTTACTGAAGAAATCAAAATAGAAATCAAAATATTTTCAGAAACAAATGACAATGGAAACACGACAACTCAAAATCTATGGGATCCAGCAAAAGTAGTTCTAAGAGGGAAGTTTAAAGCAATACAATCCTACCTCAAGAAACAAGAAAAACATCAAATAGACAATCTAACTTTACACCTAAAACAACTGGAAAAAGAAGAAGAACAACAACAAAAAAAAACCCCAAATTTAGTAGAAGGAAAGAAATCATAACGATCCAAGCAGAAATAAATGAAAAAGAAATGAAAGAAACAATAGTAAAGATTAATAAAACTAAAAGCTGGTTCTTTGAGAAGATAAACAAAATTGATCAGCCTTTAGCCAGACTCATCAAGAAAAAAGGAGAATAACCAAACCAACAAAATTAGAAATGAAAAAGGAGAGGTTACAACAGGCAATGCAGAAATACCAAAGATTATAAGAGATTCTTATGAGCAACTGGCAATATATGGCAATAAAATGGATAACATGGAAGAAATGGACAGATTCTTAGAAAAGTTCAATCTTCCAAGACTGAACCAGGAAGAATTAGAAATTATGAACAACCCAATTACAAGCACTGAAATTGAAACTGTGGTCAAAAATCTCCCAAAAAACAAAAGCCCAGGACCAGATGGTTTCACAGGGGAATTCTATCAAACATTTAGAGAAGAGATAATGCCAGTCCTTCTAAAACTCTTTCAAAATATTGCAGAGGAAGGAACACTTCCAAACTCATTCTACGAGGCCACCATCACCCTGATACCAAAACCAGACAAAGACAACACAAAAAAAGAAAACGACAGACCAATATCACTGATGAACATAGATGCAAAAGTCCTCAACAAAATTTTAGCAAACAGAATTCAGCAACACATCAAAAAGCTCATATACCATAATCAAGTTGTGTTTATTCCAAGAATGCAAGGATTCTTCAATACACACAAAATAATCAATGTGATACACCATACTAACAAAGTGAAAGGTAAAAACCATATGATAATCTCAATAGACGCAGAAAAAGCCTTTGACAAAATTCAGCACCCATTTATGATTAAAACTCTTCCCAAAAATGGGCATAGAAGGAACCTAAGGCCACATATGATAAGCCTACAAGCAAACATTATTCTCAATGGTGAAAAACTGAAAGCATTCCCCCTAAGATCAGGAACAAGACAAGGGTGTCCACTTTCACCACTACTATTCAACATAGTTCTGGAAGTCCTAGCTACAGCAGTCAGAGAAGAAAACAGAAATAAAAGGAATCCAGATTGGAAAAGAAGAAGTAAACCTCTCACTGTTTGCAGATGACATAATACTGTATATAGAAAATCCTAAAGATAGTATCAGAAAATTACTAGAGCCAATCAGTGAATTTAGCAAAGTTATAGGATACAAAATCTATACACAGAAATCACTTGCATTTCTATATACTAACAATGAAAAATCAGAAAGAGAAATTAAGGAATCAATCCCATTCACCATTGCAACAAAAACAATTAAATATCTAGGAATAGAGTCAGACAGGCTGCTGAGACGAACGCTTCACTGGGGCAGTCTCTGCATATCATGGGGAGATAGACACTGCTGCCTGTGAGTCTTGGGCCCTGGCAGTTGAGGAAGAAGAGCAGGAGGAAGGAGTCAGGACCCAGACCCACAATGTTGATTGGCCTTGGTCCTCATAGCTCCAAAAAGAAACAAGATCTCAATAAGCTCTATGAGCTGAAGTCCAAAGCAAGACAGATTATGAACCAGTTTGGTCCCTCAGCCCTAATCAACCTGTCCAATTTCTCATCAATAAAACCGGAACCAGCTAGCACCCCTCCACAAGGCTCCATGGCCAATAGCACTGCAGTGGTAAAGATCCCAGGCACTCCTGGGACAGGAGGGTGTCTCAGCCCTGAAAACAATCAGGTATTGACCAAGAAAAAATTATAGGACTTAGTAAGAGAAGTGGATCCTAATGAGCAATTGGATGAAGATGTGGAGGAGATGCTGCTGCAGATTGCTGATGATTTTATTGAGAGTGTGGTGACAGCTGCCTGCCAGCTTGCTCAGCATCGCAAGTCCAGCACCCTGGAGGTGAAAGATGTCCAGCTACATCTAGAACGCCAGTGGAACATGTGGATCCCAGGGTTTGGCTCTGAAGAAATCTGACCCTACAAAAAAGCTTGCACCACAGAAGCTCACAAACAGAGAATGGCGTTGATCTGGAAAACAACCAAGAAATAACGCAGGGAAAGGTCAGGGGATGGACAGCAATGTATTCGGAGATACTTGAGCTGAGACCTCAGCCATCTCATCCTTGGATTTTTTTTTTTAATGCTTTACAGAGAAGCATATATTTTTTATTAACAGTGCAGCAATATCTATAATGACTGAGAGGACCTGCCAAAAGAATAAAGCCTCCTACCCCCCCCAAAAAAAAATATCTAGGAATAAACTTACCTAAGGAGACAAAAGAACTGTACACAGAAAATTATAAGACACTAATGAAAGAAATCAAAGATGACATAAACAGATGGAGGGATATATATCATGTTCCTGGGTAAGAAGAATCAATACTGTGAAAATGACTATACTAATGCAATCTACAGATTCAATGCAATCCCTATCAAATTACCAATGGCATTTTTCACAGAACTAGAACAAAAACAATTCATATGGAAACACAAAAGACCCCAAATAGCCAAAGCAGTCTTGAGAAAGAAGAATGAAGCTGGAGGAATCAACCTTCCTGACTTCAGATTATACAACAAAGCTACAGTCATCAAGACAGTATGGTGCTGGCACAAAAACAGAAATATAGGCCAATTGAACTAGCTAGAAAGCCCAAAAGTAAACCCATGCATCTATGGGTACCTTATTTTTGACAAAGGAGGCAAGAATACACAATGGGGCAAAAACAGCCTCTTCAATAAATGGTTCTGGGAAAACTGGACAGCTACATGGAAAAGAATGAAATTAGAACCCTTCCTAACACCATACACAAAGATAAACTCAAAATGGATTAAAGACCTAAATGTAAGACCAGAAACTATAAAACTCTTAGAGGAAAACATAGGCAGAACACTCGATGATATAAACCAAAGCAAGATTCTCTATGACCAACCTCCTAGTGTAATGAAAATAAAAACAAAAGTAAACAAGTGGGACCTGATTAAACTTAAAAGCTTTTGCACAGCAAAGGAAACTATAAGCAAGGTGAAAAGACAGTCTTCAGAATGGGAGAAAATAATAGCAAATGAAACAACTGACAAAGGATTAATTTCCAAAATATACAAGCAGCTCGTACAACTCAATACCAGAAAAACAAACAACCCAATCAATCAATAAGTGGGAAAAAGACCTAAACAGACATTTCTCCAAAGGAGACATACAGATGGTTAACAAACACATGAAAAGATACTCAGCATTGCTCATTATTAGAGAAATGCAAATCAAAACTACAATGAGATATCACCTCACACCAGTCAGAATGGCCACCATCAAAAAGTCTACAAACAATAAATGCTGGAAAGGGTGTGGAGAAAAGGGAATGCTCTTGCACTGTTGGTGGGAATGTAAATTGATACAGCCACTATGGAAGACAGTATGGAGATTACTTTAAAAACTAGGAATAAAACCACCATATGACCCAGCAACCCCACTCCTAGGCATATACCCTGAGGAAACCAATATTGAAAAAGACACATGTATCCCACTGTTCTTTGCAGCACTATTTACAATAGCTAGAACATGAAAGCAACCTAGATGCCCAAGGACAGATGAATGGATAAAGAAGTTGTGGTACATATACACAATGGAATATTACTCAGCCATAGAAAGGAATGCATTTGAGTCAATTCTGATGAGGTGGATGAACCTAGAACCTGTTACAGAGAGTGAAGTGAGTCAGAATGAGAAAGATAAATATCAGATTCTAACGCATATATACCAAATCTAGAAAAATGGTACTGAAGAATTTATTTATAGGAGAGTAATGCCAAAAAATTGATGCTTTTGAACTGTGGTGTTGGAGAAGACTCTTGAGAGTCCCTTGGACTGCAAGGAGATCCAGCCAGTCCATCCTGAAGGAGATAGGTCCTGGGTGTTCATTGGAAGGACTGATGCTGAAGCTGAAACTCCAGTACTTTGGCCACCTCATGAGAAGAGTTGACTCATTGGAAAAGACCCTGATGTTTGGAGGGATTGAGGGCAGGAGGAGAAGGGGACGACAGAGGATGAGATGGCTGGATGGCATCACCGACTCGATGGGCATGAGTTTGAGTGAACTCCGGTAGTTGGTGATGGACAGGGAGGCCTGGCGTGCTGCGATTCATGGGGTCGCAAAGAGTCGGATACTACTAAAGAGTCGGATACGACTGAGCGACTGAACTGAACTGAATGGAGAAACAGACATAGAGAATAGACTTATGGACGTCGGGAGAGGGGAGGAGCAGGTGAGATATAGAGAAAGAGTAACATGGAAACTTACATTACCATATGTAAAACAGTTAGCCAGTGGGAATTTGCTGTATGGCTCAGGAAACTCAAACAGGGGTTCTGTATCAATCTAGAGGAATGGGATGGGAGGAAGGTTCAAAAGAGAGGGCATATATTTATACCTATGGCTGATTTATGTCGAGGTTTGACAGAAAACAACAAAATTCTATAAAGCAATTATCCTTCAGTAAAAAGATAAATTAACAATACTGCAAGAAATTTGTATGCCTAAAACAAGCACACCAAGTACCCCTAACCAGGTTAGGAGGTATACAGGGCTATCATCTTCCCCACCCTGTCCTAGGGATGAAGCCCCTCATGATTTCCATGTGAGGGTCCCCTGGGTACCCGGGAGCACTAACAACCTGGGTCCCATGCGCTAAGTCGCTTCAGTTGTGTCCGACTCTGTGACCCCACGGACTGTAGCCCGCAAGACTCCTCTGTCTATGGGATTCTCCAGGTACGAATACTGGAGTGGGTTGCCATTTCCTTCTCTAGTGAATCTTCCTGACCCAGTGATCAAACCCAAGTCTCCTGCATTGGCAGGCAGATTCTTTACCACTAGCACCACCTGGGAAGCATTTAATGCCTTGACTTATTATTTCATTATTAACTCACATTGCTGGACATGTCCACTGCATGGTGTCAATGGAAAACATAATTGTAACTGAAATGACTGGGAGATACTGTATATGTTGCACAAAAAAAAACTCACTAATGAATTCATTATTATGTAATTGAGGCTTCAGAATGCTTTGTTTTTTTCAAAAATTCTTGGGTTTTTATGTTAAGAGAATTATAGTGTTTTCTTTTTAACTTTCAGGGGAAAAAAAAGATAGTTTTAGGTGAAGCATTATCATTTTTCCCACTTAAAAAAAATGTTTCCCACTCACAAAAAAAATGTCATTTAGCACATTTTCAGGAAAGAGTGAGTTTTAGATATCATCAAGGAATGACTATTTCAATGGGAAGTTAGAACTAAGTCAGCATTCCTAGCCAATGGCATTTTCCTGTCCCTGCTTTAAAAGAATTTTTTTCTTATTTTATATCAGAGTATAACCAATAAACAACGTGGTGATATGATAGTTTCTGGAGGACAGCAAAGGGACTCAGCCATAGGTATGCATGTATCCATTCTTCCCCAAATCCTCCTCCCATCTAGCCTGCCACATAACATTGAGCAGAGTTCCTGAGCTCACAGTAGGTCCTTGTTGGTTATCCATTTTAAATACAGCAGTGTGTACATGTCCATCCCAAACGCCCTAACTATCCCTTCCCCACGACTTTCCCCAGTAACCATGAGTTCCTTCTCTAAGTCTGTGAGTTTGCTTCTGTTTTGTAAATAAGTTCATTTGTATCATTTCTTCTCAGATTCCACCTATAAGGATGTCATATGATATTTCTTCTGTTCCCACCCCTTCTGGATCTGCCCTGCTCTCCTCTCCCTTTCCAGCCATTGCAGGTGGATGGGCCCCTGTTGTCATCTCTGTAATACCTTGGAACTCTGGGGCTATGTTACTGTCAACCTTGTTTCTAACGACTGACCGCAGTGGCTAATGTTACTTCCAGGGGAGGCGCCTGCAGGCCAAGTATGAATAATAATAATGGTGGCCGGCAGACTGCACAGTGAAGAATTGATGCAAAGCAAAGATGGGGTCAGTGCTTGTAGGAAAAGGCAAGACGCCCCTACAGTTGCCCCACCTCTTCTTCCCTTCTCCCCCCCCCCCCATCACACACACAAACACACACACACACATGCACAGTGCCTTTCATACTAGAAACTGCAGCATAAGGAGTTGCTGCTGCTGCTGCTAAGTCACGTCAGTCGTGTCTGACTCTGTGCGACCCCACAGACGGCAGCCCCCCAGGCTCCTCCATCCCTGGGATTCTCCAGGTAAGAACACTGGAGTGGGTTGCCTTTTCCTTCTCCAGTGCATGAAATTGAAAAGTGAAAGTGAAGTTGCTCAGTCGTGTCTGACTTCTTGCAACCCCATGGACTGTAGCCCACCAGGCTCCTCCGTCCGTGGGAGTGCCCAGGCAAGAGTACTGGAGAGGGCTGCCATTGCCTTCTCCGATAAGGAGTTAAATAACATTAAAGAAACCAATCCTTTTCCCCCTTTTCACATCCTCGAGACCTGGCAGCTGGTAAAGATTGCTCACACAGGCATCATGTGTCAGTGATAACTCAAATGATCTCATTATTTCCTCATCAAAATAGCATTTTCTAACATCACTATTGGCAAACAGGCTTTTTAAAAAAATGGGGGGTAGAGTGGAGGGAATTGCATGAATCCAACAATATCTGATTTATTTCTTTTAATCAAATACCCTGGCTTAGACCAAAAGTGATAACAGCTTTTTGCATCCCCTTTCTCCTCCACCCCCAAATCCTGCCATCTTCTTCTTGATAAATTAGGGATGTAGTAAGCTGCGCTTGTTTCTGCATAGAATATTTGTAGTTACTTGTTAACCCAGGGATTGGCAAACACAGGCCAAATCCAGTCCACTGACTGATTTTGTACAACCTGAAAGCTAAAAATAGGTTTTTTCATTTTAAAAAAATTTTCTGGGGGACTTCCTTGGGGGTCCAGGCGTTAAGACTCCACATGGCCACTGCAGGGGATGAGGGTTCAATCCCTGGTCTGGGAACTAAGATCCTACACCTAGTGGCA